CTTGGATTAACACATAGTCTACAGGCACACACCTGATCATCTACATTTGCTCTCTTACAACACTAAACTATGTTTTCTACCTTTATCTTGCATCTACCTACCACTTCAGCATTTTATTTAAAATAATAATAATAATAAAGGGAGAAGTGTGGGATTCACATATAAATCAAGTATAAAAATCAAACGAATATTCATATTTGACCTGATTATTTATAGTTTATAATGAGTGATCAAAACCGAAAGTTTTTGTGATGACTGCCCTTGTACTGTTCACCATGTAAGAACTTATTCACTATGTAAGAATTTGTTCACCATGTAAGAACTTGTTCGTTATGCTTCAGAAGATTGGAGACTGACGAGAATTAGGCTGGGGGTGGATTAATGATTTTGCATTGAGCATTGACTCCCTTATACAGAATTTTATTGTTGTTAACAACCATTTGATCAATAAATATGAGAGATGCCCTCTCAAAAAAAAATGGTTAAAATGGTAAATGTTATATTATGTGTATTTAACCACAATAAAAAAGAAATGAGATTGCTTCTAGACATGTTGGGTTTGAGATACCTGTTGAACAGTGACAGTCATGTCTAGAAAAATCTAAAGCTCAGAAGAAGGCAAAACAGGAGAATGATTTGAGGATACTCAACTACACACACCTTTGAATTTTAGTGACTAGCCCAGTAGCTAACACATAGTGGTTGCTCAATAATATTTTCAATTGAATATTTTTAAAAAAATGAATCTAATCAGTGTTCTTAAAACTACTACACAATTCAATTTCCTCTTCAACTGACAATGATTCATTTTATGGATTTGTTAAGTGCTATATTAAGTAAGCTACCATCATATTTCTCTATTCTACAGACTTCTTCATGTGCAGAAAAGAGAAGCACCTTCTATATCTTGGTCTGTTTTCCAGATTACTAAGTATTATAATAAATCAAGACTTAAAGAGTCTTCTCTCTTTACTGGTAAGAGGTAACACCTACCCGAACAGTTACTGTGTGATTGGCAGACGGTCTCAAGAGAGGAAGCCGGATCCCACACCTAGGCATTCTTCTCATTTCTTCAATGGGAGTCCCAAGGCATTTCTTATCTGGAGAAAGGTGAGGTGGAATGTATTTAGGGATCTTCCTTTCTGCTCTCTGATGCTTGATTTCACCTGGTTCTTTTCTAAGGTCAAAACAAATGTATTTAGTCACAAGTCACTTGCTATTTAAATTCCCTTGCATTCAGAAGTACAAAACTGACCCAGGACATTATTGTTTAAAATGTGCCAGGCTTGTTCTTTCTCTTTGGTATTTACAATCAAAAGAGAACATACAAAGCTTATAGTAAAACCCAAGAACTTATTTTAAATAGTCTGTGGAAGGAATTTCCAAACACACATAAATCATCTTCTGAAAATAGGAACCATCTAAGAGTATGGCCAGTGCCAAATCAGTCATGGTTCATAGTGCTTCTCATGTCTCCAGCAGTAATTTTCAACTGGGTGAACTTACTACGACATGCTGCTAGAAAGTAGCACAGAAACTATGGAAAGTCGGCTTTAAGATTCTGTATCAGATAACTGCAAAAATGTAAACTTTGTTATCAGATAGACTGGGGTTTAAATTCCAGCATTACCAACCACAAGTTACATAATTTCAGTAAACTCTCTAACTCAAATCTCAGCTTTCTCATTTGTGATGTGAGTACAATACCATCTGCCTGCCCATCAAAGCATTAAAGAAATGCAGCATATTATGGCCTAGTAAAATGGCTAAATAAATAGTAGCTATACTAAATCTAATATTTTAATGTTCTGATAATTCTCATAAATTTCAGAAGGAAGATTATGAAAGTAAAAATCTGACTAACAACACTTATTTACTTATTTTCTGTTTCTGGCCTTTTTAGAATTTAAAATCTTGACCCTAAGTTTAAATATAGCATAAATAATTTATTAATAATTAAATTAATACTATATTTAACAAGAAACACAACTATCTCTTTGCTTCAGTGTGAACCATAGCTTTGTTAAACCCCCTTACAAAATTACAAAGCGTGTTACTCTATTAGAGACACCCATGGTGGAAAAAACTACCTTTTGTCCTCTGCTTTGGGCATTCTCATGAAATGATCTGTGATCTTAGAATCCTTTTTACCATGCTGCTTGGAATTTCTGCCTTCTAAATTCAGGCCAGAAGTACTTCCAGGTGGTTTGGTATTTAAATCATTCATTCCAGCTCCATTCTCTCCTCCTTCAAATTGGAAATGTAACCGAATTTCACCTCCCTTAGCAGAGGACATTTTCCTCAATTCACTCTCAACTTCTCTTACTTGGAACTTTGATGGTTTACTTGTTGTTTGGGAGGAACTACCTTCTTGTCCGTCAAAGCCTGGACTTGTCTCTTCATCTGCTTCTGAGTCCTGACAACTATTTTTGGAATTATCAACATCCATTGGTGACTCAGGTTCACTTTCCTTCTCAAATGGAGAATTATTTCCTAGGCTACTTTCTTGTCTACTCAATTTGTTGGCATTTTTCAGTCCAGCACCAACATTCTCAGAGCTTATGTCTGACAAAGGACTCTCTGGCACATCTATCTCTTCCTGCTGACAACTGACACAGTCTTCCACAGGAAGGCAAGACTGGCTGCCCTTCTGCTGGCTTCTGGCTTTTCTGGCCTGTTCATCTTCTGGGGTCTGTTTTGCATTTGCAAGCTTTACAGATGTCAAAAATTGCTGATTATCCCTACTTTCCTCATTATCTGTGTCACTGTGACCGTCATTTTGGGGTGACTGATCAATGTTAGCATTACTGAACTGTTCTGGTACCAGAGTTACTGTAGGAAGTTCACTTTCCAAAAGCCGCTCTGTATGTTTCCCTTCATTTTGCCACTTGCACACAGCTGCAGTCTGATGCTGATTCAAATATTGTGGGTTTTTTTCAACTGGAGTCTTATTAAGACTTAGCTGGGAAACATTTTCCAATTTTTCCATGTTATGTTGATAAAAATTATCTTTTTGTACAGAACTCATCATGGATTCTACTCTTGTGTTGTTATTTTCTTTACTATGGAAACTGTAAGAGAATAGAGAGAACGAATAACACAAAAGAACTTACGATTCAAAAGAAAGAACTTATAATACAAAAAAACCATTTATGCAACTCCCACAATGTCACAGCAATAATTAAAGTACTTGTAATCTGAGTATACAGCATGCTCTTTCCTGACTCTATGTTGTTGCACATAAGCCTATAATGCCCTTTCCCCAACTGGGTGCCAAGCAAACATCTGCCCTTTCTTTAAGTGTTAAACTTTACTCACTTCTTGTGTATTCTTTCCTGTAAAGGTAAAACTGATTGTTTGTTCTATATACTAACCACCACCGTATTTTGTTTATACCTTTACTGTTTTCTTTATCACACTATGTAAATAATCACATGTTTTTGTGTCTGTTACCCTGCACAGAGACTATTCTTTTCACCTCTGTATCTCAAGTATGTAGGGCAGTTCCTAGTACATGGGAGACTCTAAAAATAAACTCAAAGAATGAATAAAGGTAGATAAAGAAAACTGGGAAAGCAAAGACAGAACATAGCATGAAGTAAGAGAAAACATCCATATATCATGTTACTCATTTCTCTATACAGGCATGTTTCCATACCTTTCTGATTTGGCTGTCTTAATTCCTTTAGTGTCCATCCAACTGGTAATGGTCTTTTGTTTGAAAACTGTAAAAGAAAAAAAACACACCAAAACATATTATAGACACTAATGTAAAATGCATATAAATATAGCCATACATGACTTTAAAGAGAAAATACCTATAGCTATATTTATACATGTAAGGCCTTGTGCTAGGTTCTGTGGGTTAAACATAGATTAATCACTCCTTCTATACTCATGCAGTGGGTAGTAAGACAGGAACACTAATACAAATTCCTTTAACAAAGAGTAGAAAGTCATCAGCCCCTAAAAGAGCTGTTAATGGCCTAATGGATGAGAGTACAGACTCTGCAATCAAACCACCTGGATTCAAATCCTGGCTCTCTGGATTTTTATGTGACTTTGTGAGGAGTCATTTCTGTGTGTCTCAGATTCCTTTCTGTAAACATGCATATTAATAGTACCTCTCCTGGGGTTATCGTGAGATTTAAATTCAATAAAATACTAACCCATGTGAAGTGTTAAGGGCACTATCTGGTATATGCTCAGTAAATGTCAGTGCTTAATTATCTTTAGTATTAGAAGAGATTCTGATAAAGAATTAAGGTGTATCCAAGGAAAAGACTACTTCAGGATATTGGACTAGTGGGGCAAGTAGTGCTAGAATTGTGTCTTGAGGAATAAACATGTAGACACACAAAGGGAAAATCATAAGCAAAGGTACCAATAGGGAAATACAAAGAACTTAAGAAAGTAAGCAACAGAAAGTATGGATGAAAAGTCAGTTAGGACTATACCACAGAGTTTCTTGAATGACCCACAAAAAGAGGTACAGAAAAGTGTCAAATGTCACATTCAGAGCTGTAATTCTGGAATTCAAATCAAGAAGACTCCCAGTCATGCTTGATATATAGCCTGGTGGGTAAATCTGGAGGGGCAGGAAGGAAAAGCCTATTGGTAGAAACCAGTGAGGAAGCTACTGGTCTAGGTCAGTGGTTCCCAAACCATCTGAATCATTAGAAGGCTGGTAATAAATGGATCCCAGGGCCACAGCCAGACCTACTGACTCAGAATCTGTACGTGTGATGGTGGAGGATAAGGGGCCCTAGACTCTGTGTATTTTTTTCAAAAAGTGATTTTGATGACCAACTGGGTTGGAGAACTATTGTTAAGGACCAAAACTAGTCCTTGTGAGGACAGAGAATAAAAGTTGAGAAGTAAGTCACTACAGACTTAACAATGATTTAAGTTAAAGGTGACACTAAGCTTTAAATATGCAAGACTTGAAAGACAGTGACAGCATTAAGTAAAAATGTGGAATATGAGAGAACTGGGGTTAGGGAAAAAATACGATTAGGCCAATTCTGACCATATTAAATTTGAGATGCCAGAGATAACTAGATAGAAATGACCAGCAGACAATAGCAAAAGTAGAAATGACTCAGTAGAGAAAGATGCAACATAAATAAATGTAAGCCACAAATTACATAAGCACTAGAAATAAGCATGCTTTCAAAATTTAATGTAATGCACATGAATTAAATGTATATAATATTCTAGTACAAGAAAAAGTAAAACCTTAAATTTTCTCAAATTGCAATGTAAAAATCTAGGCACTTAAGTCATAGACTCATTTTATTTGCCTATGTCTCCTCAAACACCATAACATGAGCAAAACAGATGATGTCCCAAACATACAAAATTCAATAGTTGATTCATTTCTGTATTTGAGTGCCATGTAATTTATACTTTCCACAAAATACTAACATTCCAACAAGTAAAAATCTTCTGACTGGCACTTTAAAAACAGTCTCTATCACAAAAGAGTAATTATATCTGTTTGGTATTTCTTGTTAAACACCACTACTTTAGTGATTTTATTAAGAAGTTCTATAGCAAATCTGGCTTCAGAGAGAAAATTAGCTTCAGTCAAAAGGGAGTAATAGGATGAACCACTTAACTCTGAGACTTTTTCTATAGTTTCATTTCCTCCATTTAACTTAATTATTTCAAACACAAATATAGAAAATCCTCAAACTGCAAACCATCAATAAGCCAAAAATTCATTTTGAGTCAGTGTAGAGCTTAAAACACCTATTTTCCTAAATGTAAGCATTAAACAGTATGCAACGGCTAGGTTCCTGTAATACACATGAAGACAGGTCTGCAGATCCTAGATGCACACACATCATTTCATAAAAAACAATGAAGAGTGTTCCAGTGCAGATTTTATGTCTGACAAAGGACTCTCTGGCACATCTATCTCTTCCTGCTGACAACTGACACAGTCTTCCACAGGAAGGCAAGACTGGCTGCCCTTCTGCTGGCTTCTGGCTTTTCTGGCCTGTTCATCTTCTGGGGTCTGTTTTGCATTTGCAAGCTTTACAGATGTCAAAAATTGCTGATTATCCCTACTTTCCTCATTATCTGTGTCACTGTGACCGTCATTTTGGGGTGACTGATCAATGTTAGCATTACTGAACTGTTCTGGTACCAGAGTTACTGTAGGAAGTTCACTTTCCAAAAGCCGCTCTGTATGTTTCCCTTCATTTTGCCACTTGCACACAGCTGCAGTCTGATGCTGATTCAAATATTGTGGGTTTTTTTCAACTGGAGTCTTATTAAGACTTAGCTGGGAAACATTTTCCAATTTTTCCATGTTATGTTGATAAAAATTATCTTTTTGTACAGAACTCATCATGGATTCTACTCTTGTGTTGTTATTTTCTTTACTATGGAAACTGTAAGAGAATAGAGAGAACGAATAACACAAAAGAACTTACGATTCAAAAGAAAGAACTTATAATACAAAAAAACCATTTATGCAACTCCCACAATGTCACAGCAATAATTAAAGTACTTGTAATCTGAGTATACAGCATGCTCTTTCCTGACTCTATGTTGTTGCACATAAGCCTATAATGCCCTTTCCCCAACTGGGTGCCAAGCAAACATCTGCCCTTTCTTTAAGTGTTAAACTTTACTCACTTCTTGTGTATTCTTTCCTGTAAAGGTAAAACTGATTGTTTGTTCTATATACTAACCACCACCGTATTTTGTTTATACCTTTACTGTTTTCTTTATCACACTATGTAAATAATCACATGTTTTTGTGTCTGTTACCCTGCACAGAGACTATTCTTTTCACCTCTGTATCTCAAGTATGTAGGGCAGTTCCTAGTACATGGGAGACTCTAAAAATAAACTCAAAGAATGAATAAAGGTAGATAAAGAAAACTGGGAAAGCAAAGACAGAACATAGCATGAAGTAAGAGAAAACATCCATATATCATGTTACTCATTTCTCTATACAGGCATGTTTCCATACCTTTCTGATTTGGCTGTCTTAATTCCTTTAGTGTCCATCCAACTGGTAATGGTCTTTTGTTTGAAAACTGTAAAAGAAAAAAAACACACCAAAACATATTATAGACACTAATGTAAAATGCATATAAATATAGCCATACATGACTTTAAAGAGAAAATACCTATAGCTATATTTATACATGTAAGGCCTTGTGCTAGGTTCTGTGGGTTAAACATAGATTAATCACTCCTTCTATACTCATGCAGTGGGTAGTAAGACAGGAACACTAATACAAATTCCTTTAACAAAGAGTAGAAAGTCATCAGCCCCTAAAAGAGCTGTTAATGGCCTAATGGATGAGAGTACAGACTCTGCAATCAAACCACCTGGATTCAAATCCTGGCTCTCTGGATTTTTATGTGACTTTGTGAGGAGTCATTTCTGTGTGTCTCAGATTCCTTTCTGTAAACATGCATATTAATAGTACCTCTCCTGGGGTTATCGTGAGATTTAAATTCAATAAAATACTAACCCATGTGAAGTGTTAAGGGCACTATCTGGTATATGCTCAGTAAATGTCAGTGCTTAATTATCTTTAGTATTAGAAGAGATTCTGATAAAGAATTAAGGTGTATCCAAGGAAAAGACTACTTCAGGATATTGGACTAGTGGGGCAAGTAGTGCTAGAATTGTGTCTTGAGGAATAAACATGTAGACACACAAAGGGAAAATCATAAGCAAAGGTACCAATAGGGAAATACAAAGAACTTAAGAATGTAAGCAACAGAAAGTATGGATGAAAAGTCAGTTAGGACTATACCACAGAGTTTCTTGAATGACCCACAAAAAGAGGTACAGAAAAGTGTCAAATGTCACATTCAGAGCTGTAATTCTGGAATTCAAATCAAGAAGACTCCCAGTCATGCTTGATATATAGCCTGGTGGGTAAATCTGGAGGGGCAGGAAGGAAAAGCCTATTGGTAGAAACCAGTGAGGAAGCTACTGGTCTAGGTCAGTGGTTCCCAAACCATCTGAATCATTAGAAGGCTGGTAATAAATGGATCCCAGGGCCACAGCCAGACCTACTGACTCAGAATCTGTACGTGTGATGGTGGAGGATAAGGGGCCCTAGACTCTGTGTATTTTTTTCAAAAAGTGATTTTGACGACCAACTGGGTTGGAGAACTATTGTTAAGGACCAAAACTAGTCCTTGTGAGGACAGAGAATAAAAGTTGAGAAGTAAGTCACTACAGACTTAACAATGATTTAAGTTAAAGGTGACACTAAGCTTTAAATATGCAAGACTTGAAAGACAGTGACAGCATTAAGTAAAAATGTGGAATATGAGAGAACTGGGGTTAGGGAAAAAATACGATTAGGCCAATTCTGACCATATTAAATTTGAGATGCCAGAGATAACTAGATAGAAATGACCAGCAGACAATAGCAAAAGTAGAAATGACTCAGTAGAGAAAGATGCAACATAAATAAATGTAAGCCACAAATTACATAAGCACTAGAAATAAGCATGCTTTCAAAATTTAATGTAATGCACATGAATTAAATGTATATAATATTCTAGTACAAGAAAAAGTAAAACCTTAAATTTTCTCAAATTGCAATGTAAAAATCTAGGCACTTAAGTCATAGACTCATTTTATTTGCCTATGTCTCCTCAAACACCATAACATGAGCAAAACAGATGATGTCCCAAACATACAAAATTCAATAGTTGATTCATTTCTGTATTTGAGTGCCATGTAATTTATACTTTCCACAAAATACTAACATTCCAACAAGTAAAAATCTTCTGACTGGCACTTTAAAAACAGTCTCTATCACAAAAGAGTAATTATATCTGTTTGGTATTTCTTGTTAAACACCACTACTTTAGTGATTTTATTAAGAAGTTCTATAGCAAATCTGGCTTCAGAGAGAAAATTAGCTTCAGTCAAAAGGGAGTAATAGGATGAACCACTTAACTCTGAGACTTTTTCTATAGTTTCATTTCCTCCATTTAACTTAATTATTTCAAACACAAATATAGAAAATCCTCAAACTGCAAACCATCAATAAGCCAAAAATTCATTTTGAGTCAGTGTAGAGCTTAAAACACCTATTTTCCTAAATGTAAGCATTAAACAGTATGCAACGGCTAGGTTCCTGTAATACACATGAAGACAGGTCTGCAGATCCTAGATGCACACACATCATTTCATAAAAAACAATGAAGAGTGTTCCAGTGCAGATGAAGGGCTCTTTCCTGCACTTCTGACACCATGAAGGTGTTTCCTCTCAAGCTTCATACTTCCCATTATAATTCCTAAAGCCTGAGAATAGGATGAAGTAAGAAAAGCAAGAGATGAGGAACTGATTCCTGCTAATAAAACATTCCTCAGTCCTTCTGAGGGCCCCAGAGAAAGGACTGCCTACTTCTTTTTCCAATACTCCTCCTCAATACTCCACTACTTCTGGCTTCCAAAGGTTTCTTTTCCAAAGCATCACAGAACTGTTTCAGTGTTTTACCCTTCTTACTCCTGAAGTAAATAGAAAATGATGCTTCCCAGGCTTCCTGAGAGGTACTTTTAACAAGAAATTAACTGGAATTTCTTTTTAACTAGAAATAATCACAACAAACATAAAGGGAGACAACAGGAGGTGATGAAAGATACAAGATCTGGAGTCCAACAAGGTACTAAACTGAGATCTAAGTGCTCACTTACTAGGACTTCACTCCTTTTAGCCTCACCTACAGAAAGGGGTTAACAATACCCACTTCCAAGGCTTATGTGGACAGGAGAGAAAATATTAATTGTCCACCTCACAAAGCAAAAACTCAGCAAATATTCTCTCCCAACACTTCCACCCTTTTTGCACTGAAGTCAGTAGTTCTCCAACTTTATTCCGACTTCACACCATTTACACATTACCTCATCAATCACATCATTAAACAGAGTATTTTAATGAGCAATTCAGTCAATTAGGATTGTAGATACAGACAAAAAGCACAAAATGCAGTAAAATCCACCTGCACTTCAAGGGAGCACCCCATTTCTACAGAAAGTCTCTTTCCTCCAGCAGCAGCAAGATAAAGTATGGAGAGGAAGGGTGTGGTTAGACCAAAGAGTAATGGACAGTGGGAGAGTTTTGAGATTAGAGAGGGCTGAAGGTGCGTTTGACAGCACTGAGGCTGAGGGTATCATAGCAGGGATAGGCGACGAGCCAGCTTCAGTCCTCCAGTCATCCCTGGAGTGCAAAGAGAAACTTGAGGCCGAAAAGGGGAGCTTTTATAGCAACACAAATGGATAAACCATTCCCCATCAGAATGTGAATAGCATGCTGAATTCTCTCTATATGCAGACTTGCAGATTTCAGTCAACAGAAATATCCATTTTCCTATTTCACCTACTTCCCCTAGGATAACTACATATGAAAATTTTTAATTTCCAGTTCCTAAAAGAATTCCAAAGAATGAAACAATAGGCGTTGATAGAAATTTAGACTGAACATTTTATCAATTAGTATCCTGCACCAGGTATACAGAAAACATTTACAAATGTAAAGTACAACCCAAGCATTAATTTGATTCCTCTGCTGCAGAAAATCACAACTAGTGAGGACTGACTGGCCCTCACCACCAACAACTAACTCCTCCTTCATATGCAAGTTAATAGGACCACAAACTAACTTGTCACAGAAGTCAAATACAGTACTTGGAAGTCCTCAACAATGCCCTCTTCCCTCTACTCTCCTTTGCCAAGAAAATCTGCATCCTAAATCTTAAATCCTCCCCCCCTTTTTCTTCATCTTCAAAATAGCACCAACAGCAAAAGAACAGGTACATCACTTACTAGACAACTGCATGTTTCCTACAACTGCTCTCCTTGTCCAGTCTTGACATCGTCTAACCCAGTGTCTACAACCTACAGATGACTAACATTTTTTAATGAAATAATACAGACAACACAAGAATGCATCATACCTAGTAAGGGTAAGTATCATGAAACACTTGTTATAAATATGGCATATTTACCAGATTACATGTATTTCTTATTCTGTGTACCAGGTGAAATTTATACTGTGAGTACAGTCAGAAAAGTCCAACCACTGCCTAAGCCATATTTTCTAAAATAGTAACCAAATGGTATTCCCCCTCTTAAAAGCTTTAGTGGCTCCTCATTAGCCTCAGAATAAAATCCAAACTCCTTGAAATAGCACTGGACTTTGTCCATGATAAGCTCTTGGCCCCCTTCCCAGCCTCATCTGACACTCCTGTCATTCTGTGCTCCAGTCCTACCACCTTTTACACATGCTGTTCCCACTGTCTACATAATTCTTCCTCTCCTTCATTTAATCAGCGAATCCTGTTCATCCTTCAATAGTTAGTTCAGGTTTGCTCCCCACTGCCTCTGAGAAAAGTAAGAGTACATCTCACTGGAGGACTTCCTGACCTCTGCCCAGCCTCATACTGTTCACCAATGTATCCTTTCTGAAATTCTCTCTTCACTGCATAACACAAAAGCCAGGCTTGCTTTCTACTTCTCTGGCTGCTTCTCTTCAGTCTACTCTTAAATGATGGTGTTCCCAAGCTTCTGTCCTAGGTTGCCTTTATTATATTTTCTACATGCTTTATATGATCTAATCTACTCCCACAGCATCAATTGTCATGTTTATGCCGAGAACTCCCAAATCTGTATTTCCAGCACAGACACACTTCTCATGAGGTACAAACCCACAAATCCCATTCTCTGCTGAATCCATCCATTTATCCCCTTCTCTACTGTCCACAACCAACTGTAAACCATCACTATCTCTTACATAGACTAACAACTACCTGGGACCTGCACTTCTGCTCCCTTTCAATCCATTCTTCATTTTCTACACACCAGCCACAAGAACCCTTTAAAAGCTATATATACTGAAAACCTTTTAATAGTTTTCCATTGCCCATAGAAATAAAGTTCTTCTCATCGCCTCCATATCCCAGTACGATCTGATCTTTGCCAACCTCTCTGCAGCTTCCTCTCTCACTACTCTCCCCTGTTAACAGTATGCATCAGCTGCACTGGAATTTTTCCTTACTTCCTCTTCATTTAGCTAACTCATCATTCTTCAGTCCTCAAAATAAACATCTCATCTTCTGGGAGATTATCTTTAATCCCAGAGACATGATTAGGTACTCCTGACTCCTAACACATCAATCTGTTCCTCACTTATTGGAACATTCTTTACCCTTTATTATGTTTACTTTTCTAATGAGTTCGCCTGTTAAGATTTTAGGGTCTGAAGACAGAGGCCAAGTTATTCTTGTTCAACACTGTACACCACAAAGTACAATGCCAGCTAAGACTAAGAGCTCTGGGGGACCTAGTATCTGAATTGAGGGAAGTTGTGTCTTTCTTTTAGCTTTCTTTCCATCTAGATACGAAGGCTTCACATATACAATTTGATCTCCTTAACGACTACGGCAATTTCTCAGTCAAACCCGAGGAAAGCAAACAAGTGGTCTCCTGCCATTTTCGCCCTTTTAGCGACGAGCTCATCAGGGTTTCTCACATCATCAATTGCAACGGGAAAAATGCGGCTCCATTCCCCCACTAGTGGCGTTGGTGGCTTAGCAAGAGGACCTCCTGCGGTGCACACAAGATCGTAAAGGGGTGACTGGAGTCCGTGCATGTTCGGACAGATACGAATGTGTGTGGGCCAAGCCGAAAGACGAAGATCTTTATTTCCCCACGTACCAAGAGAGGTGGCGCTGCCTCTGTGCGGTCCCGCCCGCCCCGAGACGCAGCCTGACGAGGACGGTGGAACCCTGAATTGCACGGAAGCGTCCTTGGGATCGAGGACGCGCCTCTGCCTGCCGGGGAAGCTCCGGGAGTCCGAGGCGGCCGGAGGAGAAGTTGCAGCGGCGCCCCAGCGGGGTCGCTTAGTGCAGGGCCCACAGCCAGGGCCCGCACTCATGCTGGGACCCGCAGCGTACAGTCCCCGGGCCGGCCCGGGCAGAGAGCCTCAATCACTAACCCTGTGAGGAACGGACTGCACCTCCTCCTCGGCGCCTCCCGGCACCATCCCTCTCTGCCGCTGCCTGCTTCTGCAGCTGCCGCTCCGCCGGCTTCCAGAGCTAGGCCCTATCCAGCCTTCTGCCTTCTCTCTACGACAAGAACCCCACCTGCCTCAGGAAGCGCCGCTTTGACGCTAACTTCACTTTCCCACCCCCGGAAAGCTGCCGTTAGGCGTATCCGGCTTCCGGGGAGTACACTGTCGCAAAGCGGAAGTGTAAGGCTTAGACGGCCCCGGCGACGGCCCGGAGGTCACCGTGCGAGAGAGCTGTGGCCACGCGGGTCTTCCCCCTGTTACCGAGGAGCAACGGCCCGCCAAGCAGACAATCTCTGAGGCGGCGGAGATAAGTAGACGGGAGTTTGCTGCGAAACCATGGAGAGCGGCGGGGGAAGTGGCAACAAAACCACAGGGGGGTTAGCCGGCTTTTTCGGAGCGGGAGGAGCGGGTTACTCGCATGCGGATTTGGCCGGCGTTCCGCGTGAGTATCGGGCCTAGCTTGCGAACATCTCGACTGGTTCTGTGGCTACGCCTGACGTGCAGCGTGACCTGTGCTGTTTTCGCTGGCGTGGACAACCTTCAGTGCCAGTAGTGGGGTTAGTGGGGTTAGTGTGTCTGCGCTGCCGCTCTTCAGTATTGAACGAGTTTTTGGAAGTGTGGCTCCCCGAGAAGCTCTCAGTGGTTGACCTGGGCTCAGTAGATGTTGTGTTTTCATTTTATATCCAAGCCTTGGGTCTTATTTTTTCCTCCCACACATTCTTTGCGTCTTGACTGTGTTCTTGAGCCTAGGTTAAGATAAGAGCCCAGCACTGCAAGTAAATGCATTCCAAATAGCCAACCCGTAGGTAAATTTTTATCACGAAGTGACACATTCTAAAACACAAAATAGCCTTCAGGGCAGGTCCCTTAACAGTGCATGCATACAGGCGGAGAGAAATACGAGTCAGGACTACTGGAGGAGCTGGAAAGTGAGCTGCACTTTAAAGGTCATTTGTAGACTTGAAGAAAAGCCAGATAAAAATTTTAGAAGACGAAATAATGCACGATGGAGGATGCAGAAGCATGAATATCCTGCCTGGTCCCTCTTCTAATCCTGTGAATATGTATTTCATATATTTGGGACTTTGTAAGTGTGGTATTCAATTGGATAAATAGAACTTGGACTTAAAGATAGTAGGAAGTTGGTGGAGAATAACCACGTTAGAAAGCTGTTTTTTTGGGGTTTTTTTTTTTTTCAGAATATTGTACTATTTCTCCAGATTCTTTATGCTCAGGAACAAAAATGCCATTTCAAGTTATTAGTGTCACCTGTGTCAAAACTGAATCTGGAACGTAGTTTATTATATATAATAAGTCTTAAGAGCTCTGAGTTTTGGACCACAAAGAGTACTTGCTTAAAGGGTACAACACTGTTACATTAATTTGATTAAGATTTGAAGGTAAATTGAGAGATCCAGGGGTGAACACCATTCATTGAGCACCTACAACAGCATTTTTAGGTGCAGGATTACAGCAGTTAAATTTTAAAAGGTGATTGCTACTTTCATGGAGTTTACATCTATTGAAGTGAGTCAAGTAACAGAACATTTCAGTCAGTGATATGTGTGTGTAAAGGCAGTTAAACAAGGTCATGAGATGGTGTTGGGAATAGGAAGACATTTGAGAAAAGCAACTCAGAGGTGTGGACATTGAGCTGTGAGCTGACTACAGTACAAATGCCTGATGGGGAGGCAGGTGTACCAGAGGAAATGGCTAGTACACATGCGCTGAGAAAAAAAAAACGGCATGTTTGAGGAACAGCTGTCAGGCCAGTGTGTTTACGGAGTTGGAAGCTGTGAGGAGTTGGAGTGGTAGGAGATAATGAGATCAGAGGGGCAAGGAATGACAACTATTGTAGTGTTTTGTAAGCCATGGTTAGTAGTTGGGATTTAATTAAAAGTGTAAATGGAAGCATTAAGGCTGATTTCCTTTTCTTGGAAAACCACGTTAGTTGCTATGTAGAAAATGAATTGAGACTAGAGCACAGAGGGAGTCCAGGTAGGTAGGAGGTTGTTATTATAGTCTAGGTGAGATTTAATGTTTGGACTAGGATAGTAGCAATAAAGATGGTGGTAAGTAACACAAATTGAACATACATACTGAATATAGAACTAATAAGACTTTCAATTGATGAAAAGACCACAGTCATGGGTAATGCACAGATCTGTGAACAATCAACTTGAGGTACAGAAGGATCCACAGATCAAAATGTGAGAAAGTTGATTTTCCTTGATATTTCTGTCTTCAAAGTTAGTGAGATTCAAGTCTGGCCCTCTGAGAATTTCCATTTTCTTTTGCCCTGACCCCCATCCTTAGGTCCCAAGAATCCCAATCCTTAGACCTAAGAATTTTCTACCCTGCCACACTAAATCATCTCTGCCTATGACTGTCAATAGTAAGATCAGAAGGAACTGTCTTAAAACATTTATACCCATTTATACCCAATACATACTGGTTTTCCCATGCAATTGATTGGCCTCTTGTCAGTCTTACTTTGCAGTTTATATAGCTGGCAAGCATTCTTCTAGCAAAGAAGAATGCAATTAACCTTGTGAATTGATCTGAGCTATGCTTCTTCCTACTTTGATTATTTGATCCTTCTTATGGCCAGTATCTTCTTGGTATGAGAGCCTAAGCCCCCAGTATAAGACCTGGTTTGGGATTGAGGACCTCAGGAAGAGGCAGCCCCAAAACTGCCAGACAGGGAGGATAAGCATAGAAAAGTGGAAGAAAATGTCTCATTCAGTAAGCCTGTACATCAAAATTGCATATACGAAACAACCAAGAGAAGAATTAAGATTAAATGAAAACAGCTTTTTAAAATTTTGTTGCTATATTGCAATATGATGCTTTGTTTTCTCTCCAGTGACTGGTATGAACCCTCTGTCTCCTTATTTAAATGTGGATCCACGATATCTTGTACAGGTAAGATTAAGACTAGTTCTTTTATGATTTTTACTTTAACTTAACCAGTTTTTAAGAAACTGTCAGGTACTTACGCTGTCTTGGTCTTGGCATGTACTTACGGAGGCATGAAGTCTCTGGTCTCCATTCACTCTTTTTTTCCTCACAAACCCTGGGGATTTGGCTTTCGTCTCTCCCTGACACTAGTTAATTCCCTTTAAAGGGTTTTAAGGATTGTTTGTTTTTCTGTTTTTTAAATTGTGATAAAACACTAATAAAATTTCCCATCTTAACCATTTAAGTGTACTGTTCAATGTGATTGAATACAGTTGTTATGTTGTACAGCCATCACAACCTACCATATCCATATTTCTTTGCATCTTGTAAATATGAAACTCTGTGCCAATTAAACAATAACTCCTCATTCTGCCCTCCTCTGAGCCTGTGGCAACTGCCCTTCTGCTTCCTGTCTCTAAATTTGGTACTCTAAGTACCTGAAATAAGTAGGATCATACAGTAATTGTCTTTTTGTGACTGGCTTATTTCATTTAGGATAATGTCCCCAAGGTTCATGTATATTGTAGCATGTGTTAGAATTTCCTTTTTTAAGACTGGATGTTACTCCATTTTGCTTATCCATTCATCTGTTCGTAGATGCTTGAATTCCTTTGATGTTTTAACTGTTGTGAATAGTGCTGCTGTGAACATTGGTATACAAATACCTCTTCCAAACTCTTTTTCCAGTTCTCTTGGTTATATATCCAGAATTAGAATTGTTCAATCATATGGTAATTCTACTGTTAATTTTCTTAGGGACTGCCATGCTGTGTTCCACATCATCTGTACCATTTTACATTCCCACTAACAGTACACAGGGTCCAAGTGTCTCCACATCCTGCCAACACTTGTTATTTTCTGTAGTTTATTGATCATACCTATTCTACTAGATGTGAGGTAGTGACTCACTGTAGTCTTTTTTTTTTTTTGGTATCATTAATATACACTTACATGAACAACATGCTGTTTACTAGATTCCCCCCATTATCAAGTCCCTGTCACATACCCCATTACACTCACTGTCCATCAGAATAGTAAGATGCTATAAAATCACTACTTGTCTTTTCTGTGCTATACTGCCTTTCCCATGCCTCCCCATGTGTGCTAATCATAATGCCCCTTTTTCCCCTTATCCCTCCCTTCCCACTCGTCCTCCTCAGTCCCTTTCCCTTTGGTAACTGTTAGTCCATTCTTGGGTTCTGTGAGTCTGCTGCTGTTTTGTTCTTTAAGTTTTTTCTTTGTTCTTATACTCCACAGGTTAGTGAAATCATTTGATACTTGTCTTTCTCCACCTGGCTTATTTCACTGAGTGTAATACCCTCTAGCTCCATCCATGTTGTTACAAATGATAGGATTTGTTTTCTTCTTATGGCTGAATAATATTCCATTGTGTATATGTACCACATCTTCTTTATCCATTCATCTACTGATGGACACTTAGGTTGCTTCCATTTCTTGGCTATTGTAAATAGTGCTGCGATAAACATAAGGGTGCGTATGTCTTTTTCAAACTGAGCTCCTGCATTCTTACTGTGAATTCCTAGGACTGGAATTTCTGGGTCAAATGGTATTTCTACTTTTAGTTTTTTGAGGAATCTCCATACTGCTTTCCACAAGCGTTGAACTAATTTGCATTCCCACCAGCAGTGTAGTGGGGTTCCTCTTTCTCCACATCCTTGCCAATATTTGTTGTTTGTCTTTTCAATGGTGGCCATCCTAACTGGTGTGAGGTGATATCTCACTGTGGTTTTAATTTCCATTTCTCTGATGATTAGCGATGTGGAGCATCTTTTCATGTGCCTGTTGGCCATCTGAATTTCTGCTTCGGAGAAGTGTCTGTTCGGATCCTCTGCCCATTTTTTAATAGGGTTATTTGCTTTTTGTTTGTTTAGGTGGATGAGTTCTTTGTATATTTTGGATGTCGACCCCTTATCGGATATATCATTTATGAATATGTTCTCCCATACTGTAGGATGCCTATTTGTTACACTGATGGTGTCCTTTGCTATACAGAAGCTTTTTAGTTTGATATAGTCCCACTTGTTCATTTTTGCTTGTTTCCCTTGCCCTTGGAGACATGAAGAAATTGGTCATGTCTATATTCAAGAGAGTTTTGCCTATATTTTCTTCTAATTGTTGTATGGCTTCATGACTTACATTCAGGTCTTTGATCCATTTCAAGTTTACTTTTGTGTGCGGAGTTAGACAGTAATCCAGTTTCATTCTTTTACATGCAGCTGTCCAGTTTTGCCAACACCAGCTGTTGAAGAGGCTGTCATTTCCCAATTGTATAACCACGGCTCCTTTATTGTATATTAATTGACCATATATGCTTTGGTTAATATCTGCACTCTCTGTTCTGTTCCACTGGTCTATGGGGCTGTTTTTGTACCAGTACCAAATTGTCTTGATTAATGTGGCTTTGTAGTAAACCTTGAAGTTAGGAAGTGAGATCCCCCTGCTTTATTCTTCCTTCTCAGGATTGCTTTGGCTATTTGAGGTCTTTTGTGGTTCCATATAAATTTTAGAACTATTTGTTCCAGTTTGTTGAAGAATTCTCTTGGTATTTTGATAGGTATTGCATTGAATCTGTATATTGTTTTAGGCAGGATAGCCATTTTGACAATATTAATTCTTCCTAGCCAAGAGCATGGGAAGAGTTTCCATTTGTTAGTGTCCTCTTTAATTTCTCTTAAAGAGTGTCTTGTAGTTTTCAGGGTATAGGTCTTTCACTTCCTTGTTTCCTGATTTCTCTCTCTGCTAGTTCATTGTTAGTGTATAAGAATGCCACATTTCTCTGTATTAATTTTGTATCCTGCAACTTTGTTGAATTCATATACTGGTTCTGGTACTTTTGGAGTGGAGTCTTTAGGGTTTTTATGTACAATATCATGTCATCTGCAAATAGTGACAGTTTGACTTCTTCCTTACCAATCTGGATGCCTTTTATTTATTTGTTTTGTCTGATTGCTGTGGATAGGACCTCCAGTACTATGTTGAATAAAAGCAGGTAGAGTGAGCATCCTTGTCTTGTTCCCTATCTTAGAAGAAAAGCTTTCAGCTTCTCACTCTTAAGTATGATGTTGGCTGTGGATTTGAAGTATATGACCTTTATTATGTTGGGGTACTTGCCCTCTATACCCATTTTGTTGAGAGTTTTTATCATGAGTGTATGTTGAATTTTGTCAAATGCTTTTTCAGCATCTATGGAGATGATCATGTGGTTTTTGTCCTTTTCGTGGATGTGGATGATGTTGATGGATTTTCTAATGTACCATCTTTGCATCCCTAGGATGAATCCCACTTGGTCATGGTGTATGCTCCTCTTGATGTATTTTTGAATTCGGTTTGCTAATATTTTATTGAGTATTTTTGCATCTATGTTCATCAGGAATATTGGTCTGTAATTTTTTTTTTGGAGGGGTGTCTTTGCCTGGTTTTGGTATTAGAGTGATGCTGGCTTCATAGAATGAGTTTGGGAGTATCCCCTCCTCTTCTATATTTTGGAAAACTTTAAGGAGAATGGGTATTACGTCTTCTGTATGTCTGATAAAATTCCACAGTAAATCCATCTGACCCAGGGGTTTTGTTCTTGGGTAGTTTTTTGATTGCTGCTTCAATTTCGTTGCTGGTAATAGTTCTGTTCAGATTTTCTGTTTCTTTCTGGGTCGGTCTTGGAAGGTTGTATTTTTCTAGAAAGTTGTCCATTTCTTCTAGGTTTATCCAGTTTGTTAGTATATAGATTCTCATAGTATTCTCTAATCATTCTTTGTATTTCTGTGGTGTCCGTCATGAATTTTCCTTTCTCATTTCTAATTCTGTTTATGTGTGTAGATTCTCTTTTCTTCTTAATAAGTCTGGCTAGGGGTTTATCTCTTTAATTTTCTCAAAGAACCTGCTCTTGGTTTCATTAATTATTTCTATTTTATTCTTCTCAATTTTATTTATTTTTCCTCTGATCTTTATTATGTCCCTCCTTCTGCTGACTTTAGGCTTCATTTGTTCTTCTTTTCTCAGTTTCAGTAATTGTGAATTTAGACTGTTCATTTGGGATTGTTCTTCCTTCTTTAAATAGTCCCGGATTGCTATATACTCTATATACTTCTCTCTTAGAACTGCCTTCGCTGGGTCCCACAGAAGTTGGGACATTGTACTGTTGTTTCATTTGTCTCTATATATTGCTTGTTCTCTGTTTTAATTTGGTCATTGATCTGTTGATTATTTAGGAGCATGTAGATAGCCTCCATGTGTTTGTAGGCTTTTTTGTTTTCTTTGCGTAATTTATTTCTAGTTTCATACCCTGTGGTCAAAGAAGTTGGTTGGTACAATTTCAGTCTTTTTTAATTTACCAAGGCTCTTTTTGTGGCCAAGCATGTGGTCTGTTCTGGAAAATGTTCCGTGTGCACTTGAAAAGAATGTGTATCCTGCTTTTTGTAGTGTAGAGTTCTGTAGATGTCTGTTAGGTCCATCTGTTCTAGTGTGTTTTTCAATGCCTCCATCTCCTTACTTATTTTCTCTCTGGTTGATCTGTCTTTGGAGTGAGTGGAGTGCTGAAGTCTCCTAGAATGAATGCATTTCATTCTGTTTCCCCTTTTAGTTCTGTTAGTTTTTATTTCACATTTGTAGGTGCTCCTCTGTTGGGTGTATATCTATTTATAATGTTTATATCCTCTTGTTATACTGACCCTTTTATCATTATATAATGTCCATCTTTGTCTCTTGTGACTTTCTTTGTTTTGAAGTCTGTTTTGTCTGATAGAAGTACTGCAGCACTTGCTTTTTTTCTCCCTATTAGTTGCATGAAATCTTTTCCGTCCCTTCACTTTTAGTCTGTGTATGTCTTTGGGTTTGAAGTGAGTCTCTTATAGACAGCATATAGTTGGGTCTTGTTTTTTTATGCATTCAGTGACTCCATGTCTTTTGATTGGTGTATTCAGAGCATTTACATTTAGGGTGATTATCGA